GGAGAGAACGCTACCGAAGGTAACTTGGGAGAGAAGACGTAGTCCAATGACTCCCTGGTCAAGGAACAGAAGTAGTGACCAAAGACTGGTGGTACAATAAGACTGATACCTTGTTATCAGTCCTCCATGGCTATTTATTTCCAATCAAAATATTTTACAAAGCTGTCTCAGGGAGTTAATGAGTTTCCTGCAGTAGCAAAAAAAAAAAAAAAAAAAAAAAAAAAAAGCCCCAGAGAAAGCATTTGTTAAGAGTACAACATTCAAAGTTTTCTAGTTGTTCAATATTTGAAAAGAGCACATGTCCCTGTATAGGTATCTTCTGGGGCAAAACAAAAGGATATTACTAAATTAACGAGCCTGCAAGAACCCATCAGCAAAAATTACCCTGGAACTGTTTTACAGAATGAATGGGCAAATCAAAAACATAAAATTAGCAGTATGTGTCAGCCTTCTATATTATCCATAGAACTAGGAGCTTTTAAGAGCCAGCCTCAGGCTTCTTGTTCCTTATGGCATGCATGACATGAAAACAAGAGAGCACCAAGCACCCATCATTACTGAAAACAGGGTATTTTAGTGATACTGGCATGACTAAAATGTAACTGCTGATCAGTGCCAATTAGCTAGAATAATCCTGTTAGCATTAGCTCAACTGTTCATTTATAAATCTCTGCACCACTAATTGTATTTGAAGTTCTTTCTAACACTAACTCCTTTTGTATGGCACTGAAAGCCTGCAAAACAGTCATCAATTGAACAGCTGATATAACAAACAATCCTTTTGTTTAACTCTTTGCAACCTCAATGTTGTAAAAGTAGTTCTGCGTATTAACTATATCATCTATTGACCAGGTTCGTACATCATTTTATTATATTTTACAATAAGCACTATTCTCTTGCCATAGCAAGAGCCATATCTCATCAAATACCGAGTCTTACTGATTGTTGTCAATGTATATCCCTCTAAGAAAAGTAAACAAAAAAACCCTTTGCTATGGTTCTTTATCAAGCTTGTAACTTAAATCACAACATGCATCCATGCATAAAAATTAAAGTATATTTGCTTTTTACTTATTGCTATTTAATTAGTACCAGAAGAGTCTTTTGGCAAGAAATACTTAGCTGAACTGCAAATAGTTGACAGCGTTGTTTGAAATGACTGGGTAGCCCTCATCAGCTTTGGATGAGCTTTTTGATCAATCGAAATGGACAATACAGGAAATGCAAGGGAGTTTTCATTAAATAAATTTATTTGTTAAAATAATTTAACTCCAAATACAACTGCTGAGTTTGCATTGAGTTCTATGTACAATTCTTGTTTTATTTGAAACATCAAGGTTTAAACAACTGACATTGTTACAAAACAAACTGTTGCCCCATTTTAAGTTGCCAGTTGTATTAGAGCTCAACAATTAACTGTGAAATACATTAATTCACCCCTAGGAAACTCCAAATCAACAGCGTTAAGCCTGATTCCAGAACCCACTTCAGTCTTTCTTCAAACCCTGATCAAGAATTAACAGATGCACAACAATGCAGATAAAAGCCTCCTGCAGTTGTCAAACATTTGCTTTTGTTGCGGAGTTTCACAATTAAAGCCTAACCAGTGCTTTGACAGCACACTGGTAAAAAAAAAAAAAATAAAAATAAAAAACAAACATGCACAAAACCCCCCAGCCAAATGGCTGACATCTTTAGGCAACATTCTATACAGGAAAGCAAATACCAGTAGTTTTCCCACAGAAAAGTAATGGCAACTGTAGCACTGGGGTTAGGGAGAGGCTAGAACCAGAACAGAAAATGTCACCAAAATTTTGTTGATGCTCTGAAGGGGTGGGCGGGGGGAACAGACATGACAGAAAAAACCAAACCAAACCAAAACCCAATGCAGTTGTGTTTAATACTCTTGATCTGATTCTGGTTTGTTTGCTTTGACTAGTTCTGGAAACAGTTGCTCTCACTATCATAGCTTAAAAGAATAAAAGTTGCAACATTTAAAAAAAAAAAAAACCAACCAAAAAACGAAACTGGAAAAATGCTGTCTTTGTAGAAAAATACAAAGCTCTACAAGAACAGCCAAAGGAAAAGTGGGTCTTTGGAACAAATCATAATATTTTAAGGCATGTTAGAAGAAACTTTCAAATACTATAATTGGTAATCCTATCAGGGTACAAACGAAACAGTGACCCAAGACCAACGACTCCCGCAGGGTGGCCACACAGCTGCTGCATGGCTCACTTGCCTCCCCCTTTTCTGCTACCCCTAGAATTTGAAAAAATCTCTGTCAAGTGCAACTGTCATTGATTCAAGCTCCACTATCTTCACATTAGTGGAAATACAAATAGTGCATAACTACTTCCTCAGAACTATACAATGAAAAACACCACTTACACTTTCCCCCCGCCACGTTGTGTGGTAGCTTACATATGGCCTAATTGCTTGAAAATGTAAGAGTGTAATGAAGAAACAAGACTGGGAGATATTTTCATTAATATTTTCTGTTAAAAATTTCACTGTGCAATTTTTCCTATATTAAAAGCCCATCTGTTTTATATTATGAACTTCATGTTAGGCTGTTCATATTGTACTTCATGCCATTTTCTTGGTTGATGAACAATCTGTGAGGTAAGATTTTAACATCTCTGTAAATAACATTGCATAACATGCACTTCCAAGTCAATTTCAAATTTGGGTTTGGTTTTGTTGGTTTGTTTGTTTGTTTGTTTTGGGTTTGGATTTTTTTTTTAGGTCGTACTGCTCAATAAACCACTTCCCAATCTAGATATTTTAAACATTGAAACATCATTAATTCAACATCTCGCATATTGCTTAAGCTTGATGGCTGACACACTGGGCGGGCAGAGGAGAAGAGAACATTCATACCATCTAGTTTAGGCATATAAATTGTGTGACTTGAAGGACCAAAGTTAAAAGCCTAAGTTTACTATATAGTCAATGGCAAGAGGTAGGTGCCTCTAGGAGGGCGATTCAAAGCACCCAAAATGGGCATTCAGATGCCAGAAATAAACGGTGTGCCTATCTCCCTAAGAGAACAAAGTACAGTAACGAAAGCTCTGCAAGGTAGATGGGAAACGGGCTACATTTACGTTCTAGTAAGGCTTAATGTTTTGCGACATCTAATGCCCTTTGATACATTGGTTGTGGAAAGGTCTTGAAAGATTAAGGGCAGCGATGGCCAGTTCTCTTCCATTAATATGATTTCCTTTAGTTATCATCCACTGAACTATAATTCAAAATGTTAAGGATATTTATGTATGAAAGTCTGCAAAGCATTTTGTACTCAAGTTTTCTTTGTAGCAGATGAGAGCGTTTTTAGGAAGTTCTGCAGATGGAGGCAAAACTCTCGAACCTAACTCCAATTACGGCATTTCTAAGGGCCATACACACACACACATACACACTCAACACACACACACACACCCCAGCGTCCCTGTTTTCACTCATTTAAACACAAGGAACTACACTGTTACTGCACAAGATTGAAAAACTAATAAACACATGGTGTTATTTAGACCACAGGCTCAGTGACTCTGTATTTTTATGGCCAAATTTACCTATAAAAGATCCAGCTCAAGACAATCTCTCCAGCATTTAAAATCTAAACATTGTGATTGAAAACTCTTCTATACTTTGATTGTAAGACTTCGGAATAGGTATTTCTGTGCCATTAGTCATGCAAATGATAAATACTTCACTGCTATGAAACTAGCAAGTCAGAGCTCGAGCATCCTTTCAAAATAAAATATTTGCTCCCACCATTTAACACTCCAATAATTGGGGCAACCTTTGAACAGTGTGTCAGGCAATTAAAGAGCCATTTCCACACTCACCTAAGGAATTACAACCATAACTATTTCACTTCTGAACCAAATGATTTCACGTGGTTATTCAATTTAAGTTTTCAACATTAAAGCTATCAAATAGCAAACTTGATTTTCAAAGGTTAGTTAGGGATCACACCAGAGAACGTAGCCCTTAAAGGCAAGAAAAACTGTTGTCTTTAACAAACTTAAAAATGCAGGATGTTCATACTGTCCCACGAGGTTTCTGCAGAAGGGAACATATGGATGCAACATGGCTTAATTTTCCTTACAAGATGGTACTAGTTAATCTATTAAAGTGTTCCTTGTTAGTAAGGCTCAGCAATTTTTTTTTCATCACAGTTGCTTCCTCCTGGTTCAGTAAAGTGATAAATAAAGATGCTTCCTGCTTTGTAAACAGAGGGTTTGTTTGGCTTTTTGCAGACCAAAACCTGAAGCAATCCTCCATTTTTCAGCAGCAAAACGAAAGATTTAAAACATTCCAATGCCAGACTGTTTCTTCACCCGTCCTTTGTTTTCAGATCTTGCCCCTCATTTCACACACTGATGCAATGTTTTCTATTTCAAGATGTGGGATAAAGTGTGGAAATAATAGCATCAATTTTGAAAAAAAATCCAAACAGTATAGGTCTCTGGTAGCCTCTTCCTCTAACACTGTCAGAAGTTCTGGTGAAATCAACATATTTGACTGAACAAACTTGGCCACGAGTGATAGCGCACGTCCTGAAGCACGGTAATTAGACACTGAAAGACTTGGCTCTCCTTTCACGCTTATGCTAGTTGTGAATGGTCTTCAGAGATATTCTCTCCACTGGTTTTGTTTCCCATTTCCAAAAGTTTTCCAGCTTCTTCGGAAATAGTTGCTGTTGTTGCTGTCTGACATGACAAAACACGTACGCTCGACCGAAACGACCCTGTAGATCAACTGGCTATGCCATAAAATTGCAGGTGCTCAAAGGGAAAAACGGGTGAGATGTGGTCATTTAACCCAATTATATTCAGAGTCAGTGATTGACTTTCAATGCTCAGCTCTGAGTTAATGTTGCTACTTCACTACAGATGTATTTCAAGTGACCCACAAACCAGGAAGTGAAGTAGACAGTTTTACCACCTTACAAAATTTCTGCAAATTAAGTCCAGGTTAGGTCATTTTTAATGCTATTGTATATTACATGCAGAACAGCATGGATCATCTTTGTCTGGCTGTGCTGCATAGTTCATTTGTCTAACAATTTCCGCAAAGAGCTCATCCACCATCGTTTTACTTTTAGCAGAGGTCTCCATAAAGGGGCAGCCCCATTCTTCAGCTAAGGCTCTGCCTTCACTCGATGATACTTCTCTCTCACTCTCCAGGTCCACTTTATTACCAACCAGAATTACTGGCACCTTCTCATACCTACAGTTATAAAAAAAAAAAAAAAATAAAAACAACAGCATAATTATATTTAAAGAACGGCAACATTCTAATGTAAACATCTATTTGCAAACAGTACTGCCCCAACAGGAAAGAGACTTTTGGATGATCTTAAAATTTTACATTGAAAAAACGCTTTGCATATTTCACATTCTAGCGATTTGTTGCACATCTCTCTCTCCCCAGAGCCTTCTTAGAGTTCTAGGGAATGCTTCCTCCTCCGAATTTTCTTTCCCACCAGGAAATCTACCAGGAACACTTCCACACTACAAAAACTAGGAATATAATAATATTTTCTATGTTGGCAATCTCAGGGTGTAAGAACAGGATGGATGTCCAACCCTCCCTTCAACATTACGTCCTCCTTCTCCCTGAGCAGGTATCATGTTGTATTTCCTGCTTGTGATAAAGATGCATCACCTTCTCTTTCAAAGGTACATTTACCTTTGGTTAATATATACAGAACTCTTAGATTAGCAATAAAAGGGAGAAAACCAAAAGGGCCAGCAAATTTGTTTGATTTCAGGAAATGTAGCCCACTTCAAGTACTGTATACATACAAAAGTATTGTTATACAAAAACATGTATTAGCCAATATAACTCTCCCTTGCCGCATTCACATCATTATGCCAGTTAAACAAGCTGAAAAGAAAAAAAAATTAAGTTCCAGGCAATAATATCACAGTTCTGCTTCATAATCAACTTGGACAGCACAATAGATCATATGAGCTATGAAGGAATTTATGACTTTGCACCTCCTTGTGCGAGGATCCTTGCCAATTTTTAAAAAAAAAAATTAAAATGCCTTCCTTACTTTTTTTTTTCCCCATCCTCACATGCATAAACCTTTCTTCAGACATGAAACTAAATAAGTGTTCAGTCAGGTTTTAAATTTACATATTTGCCATAGCAGAGAAGAAAACACTGGGCCTATTTCCAAAATACTCTTACATGCATTTTCTCACAAAAGCGACAAGGACTGGGAGAAAAACTGATTATGGCTTTTAGCACTTAAACTAAATGAAAGTCTACAAGAAACAAGATGGTTCCCTCTTAATTTAAACCTGAGTTTCTACTTTGTATTGGCTTAGTAGTACTGCTTTAAGTCAAATCACTTGTGTAAGAACGAGCTGTGGACAGACAACCGTCATAGCTGATGCTTGCAGCAGTTGAAGATGTCGCTGTCCTTAAGCCACCGATTACTCCTTCTTCATCCCCGCCGCCCACCCTCCCTGCCTCCCAGGCAGGGCAGCGGAGCAGAGCTGGTGCATGTGCCTCGGCTGGTTGAGGGAAACATCCAGCAGCTTGGTCTAACCTACCAGCCATGACGAGCCTCAGCTGTCAAGACTGCACTGGAAGAGGGAACCTACATGCTCCTGTTGGCTCTACTGCAGGGATGGCAGGCTCCCACAGAGTCAGATAGGACAAAAGGGCAGTAACTTCTCAAACCACCTCAGCAACTCTTACACCACCACAGCAGTATCAAAAATTGGTCCAACTATGTCGTAAGATGCAGCTGAAATTCTGAACTTTGTTATGTCTCTTTGCTAACTATGGGAATGTCATTTAAGCCACAGCCTAGGGCTGTGGTCTATAATTGTAGAGAATTCCCCTCACTTTCACCATTTATCCTACCCTCCTTTACCATCTGACGAGACACAATCCATTTCTTACTCTGTGGATATACAGTATTTAACACAATGATACCTTTGGAACTCTTGCAAAAGCTAAGCTGCCATTAATTAAGTACCAAAATACACACAAGCATCTTGAAATCTGTCCTCCCGCGTTTAAACACGATAGCATAGTCTTTAATTACATAAGATGGATGACATTCAACAGATAAGACAGCAATTCAATATTTATTTTTATCTTTATTGTTCAGATGCATGTGTCCTATTGTATTTGCTGTAAGGCATTAAAAACCCTTCAATGAAAGTGGAATCAGGTACACCTTCACTGCATTTCTTGATATCTGAGGGCCCCAAACTTCCCCCTGCCAGCTCCTCCAGGTATTCTATATCTTCTCAATTTTACCAGTGGGAAAAATTGAGAAATTCAAAGCAGTCACTTGAGAAACATTCAGTGAAGAAGTAGATGAGCCAGAATTAACACACAAGATCACCTCTCTTCTCATTCTGCAGGATCACTCTAATTTGTTGAGAAATATATGAGGGAAAAAACCCACACACTTGTTGCAGGTTTATAGCCAGTTCCACTGAAATATTCAAGGGCTTAAAAAGGTTTAGGAACCCTAGAAAAGCTGGGCAACTACATATCTGAGGATCTGTTTACTACGGGTACTCAGCACCTGGGAAACGGAGCAGTGGAAATAGTGAAGTTTCATACTGCAGAACAAAAAGAAGAACTAATGAGCTGACAGGATAGATGTGAAAAGTCTAATTTAATTTATTTGCACAGGACCACCTAGGAACTATTAGGTAGAACAAATAGAAGCACTTTTCTGTATTGCTTTTTCCTGCTTTTGCCTCTTGCATTTACCCTATTCGCTGCCTACCTTCACTACTTAAAATGAGATAGGAATCCAATAGTCAATAGCCTTATTCACCTTATAATCCAGATTCATCCAATAACCACTTTGCAACATTAAATTGTGTAAGAAAGTGTTTCTTCAAAACCCTCATTATGCCATCTTATCAAATACCTCCTCACAGGGCAAAAATAAAATTGCTCTTGCAAAATATATCCTTGTATTACCTAAATTTTGAGTAGTCAACTTTACAGAGAAAATACTTTTTATATATGTATATTCTGTGTGTATTTTTATATATTTTATATTTATGTATATTTTATATATATAAATATATATACTTACGCCTGCCGAAGAACTGTCTATAATACACACACACACATACATATAATCACACGATTTATCTTTCTACATAGAAAAGTCAGTATCCATTATCTAGAATAACAGAGGGTGGAATACAGCAAATCAGGGGAAAACAGCCCATGGATACTGAGCAGAAGACTGGCTCCAGTATGGGCTTATGAGCTCCAGTTCAGTATCAGTCCTGCCAGACCCAAGCTGAGTATGGGAGAGCCAGACCAGATGTCTGTGCACTGTATTCTCCAAATATGATGATGATGATGGATTGACTGTGAACTAACAGGACTTTACAGAAACAACGTTGTTCCACGTAGTGGTTCTAGCCCCTGCTTGCCTGCATTCAGAGTCCCTAAGGGTCTCCGCACTGTCCTTCCCAGCTTTTGGGTTCTGGTAACTCACCGTGGAAGCCCTAGCTCTCAACTAAAGCTCTGCAAGCTCTGAAGTTCAAGCTGGCTCTCCACCCTTTACCTCCCAACACTGCCAGAATTTTCTGCCTCACTTAGTATCCTGGACAAATTTTATTCTAATGAGTATGGGGGAAATCCCTGGTTCAATGCTCTCGTTACCACAGCTGCTGACCTTGCCGGAGGCGACTTCTGCCTGCCCTTGGAGGCTCCGCTCGCTATTTGCGGAGCTTTGGACAGGCCAGATGTTGGCACACCCACCGCTGAGGTGGTGTGCAGCAGCACAGGCCCGCAATGGGAAAGGGTGATTTCCCAGATGTGGCAGAGTTACATAATTCTAATGAAATCTGAAGGGAAGAACATCATCTCTTCCTCACAGGCTTTTCACCCTGCTGAATTTCAGTGACCCAAGAGGAAAATAGCTTCTTTACAAAGGAAAACGAGCTGCCTTGCAACGCCCAAGCAGCAATGTAGAACCCTTCCATACAACCACAAAAATCAAACCCGGGAATTCACAAATCCTTCCAAAGTCTTCAAGTAGGATCTAACCTACTCACGAATACTTTTAGCAGAGCAAAAGAGGCTAAAACCCCACCACCTGTACCAGAGCCCTGAGAAGCCAGACTGCTTCTGCCATCGCAGGAGGTGTGAGAGGGCAGCTCAGCCTGCTATGGGAGCTGGGCAGAGGTCTTGCCTTTCAGTGCAGCCCATCTCCCCCCTGCCTGTCCCCTTAGCGCTGGAGAAGTGGCACAGTTCTGCTCCTCCTTCCTGCAGCAGGAAAATCCAATTTTCTCAGGACTGCTGAAAAGCTTTGAGCAGCACTGACCATTCCTAATGAAAAGCATGAGGGCCACCTGAACCTGGCCAGCCTGCCAGTTTCCTCTGTATCAGTGCAGCGCAGTATGTATTCTGGGGCAAACATCATAGCAGAGCCTGTAAGAAATATACTCAAATGCAGCACAGGAAGGCTTGACTTTTCAAGACCTCTTCAGGAACAGATTTTTGCAAGACCAATTACACGTGTTTGCAGAACACGTTTAAAGAACAAGGTACTTCACCCTGTTTAAATGACCTCACTATCTCAGGCTCCAATACGACAGATACTGAGCAGTGGCAACTCCTGAAGAGATAACACGACTGCAGTCATTTATAGGCCCATGAAAAACACTGGTGCGGAGCCAAATATCATCATATCTAGGATATCACTACTGGCAAGATACAGTCGTTGCTCCATAAAAGACAACCAGCATGTATTTCCCAGTCCCAGATAACTATTCAATGCTAAAAACCACCCTCTTATCCATCTTTAATGAGCTTCTGGGACTACCGGGCCACAGTAAATGCCACAGTTTTCCTGAGGATGGACACCATAGCCACGTGGAATCAATAAATACATGGACTTTAAATGCTTTATGTGGCCCAGCTATGTACCACTGACCACACAGCCTTATATGCCACACAGCAGTAAACAGTTTCTACGTTTTATCTTGCCTCACGTGGCACATACATTATCCACATTTCTGTTTAGATTAATATGTGTACTTTGAGTAACAGCTTAAAACATTTAGAAAGCCTCAAGACGAATGGTATGTAAATGATCTTCAGAGACTTTTACCTCCCATTTTTTCTACCTCCAATCTTATTCAGAGAGAGAAAAACATGGGCAGTACCTCATATCACATCTGAATCTATTTTACAAGGTACTTTTCAGATTTCTCATTAGAGCTGTCATTGGATAAAGATAAAACAAAGATGACATGCAGTGAAAATATAATAAAAATGAAGAATTAAAAAAGTAAGAATTACAAAAAAATTATGTACACCAAGGCTAATAAACTGATCTGACTCCCTTAAACTGTGCTAGAGATTGTCCAGTACCCCTAAACTGGGGATGGGGTGGAAAAGCAAACTGGACCAGTACAGGATAAGACATTAAAAAGTTCAAATGGGTTCCTGTTCTCTGATTTCACATTCTGGAAATGTTGCATCTTTTCTAGGACTTTTGCCTGATCTTCATATCAGAGGCAAATATGTTCAACCAAAATGCAGAAACGTTCTGTATAATAAAAACAAATTAAGAGGAAAAAATGTGTATTCTTAAAGACTTTTTCTTATAACTAGCTTAAGTCCTGTTGAAGTTTATGGAAAGACATATGATTTCTAGCTTTACATGTTAAATACTGGGACCACTGAAATGTAAAGGTATCTTTCCATGATAACTATTCCTAATCATCAAAAGGAGTCTCCAGTACTAAATCACCTTTATTACCCTCATCTACATGCAGGGTGTCTTCCCCTCTTTTTTTTTTTTTTTTTTTTAAATGTATTTCTGGCATTTTTTGATAGTATTTCAAAAAGGAAAGTAATTTAAGGGATGAAATGGGACAATGATGATGCAAATAAGATCAGAAGGTCAGTAAAAATAATTATTCTTCATTTTAGACTTACAAAAAAATTTGTGGTAAGAATCCTGCCAAAATACACAGTAAAAGAATTCTGGGCAATATGAAAAAAGTATCAAAACCAACAGTTAAATCTATTAGATTGTTTACAAATTCATACATAAATATTACTAAACATTATTTTGTAACGTAACTTGCAAATTTTGATTGCCTGCAGTAAAATCTGTCATAACTTGAACTAAAAATTCCCTCATCTAGAGAAAGAACATATTCCAAATGTAACTATCAAGACCTTTTCTTATCCCTTTCACACAATTCCTTGGATGTTTAATGCAGAATCCTCAGCAGTTGAAACTCACATCAGCTTCAGAGGATACGAAAAGACAGAGTGTTCCCTAGTCTGATTCTGAGCCTCTCAAACACCAGGAAGAGGAAGCAAGACCACAGAACTGTCAAGGGGAAAACAATCAATCTTAACCCTTTGTTGAAAGCTTCCAAGTCTTGAACCAAAGCAGCAGGAAACACACATACGTACTTCTAAAGCAATTACTACCTTGTCTTAAGAAATTTATGCAGAGAACGTTTCATTGTTTCCAAACCCTGATTCCTTGTATTTTGGTAGCTTTAAAAATTTTAACATTATGAGTTAAATCAACAGCAGGGGCTCAGTCTGCAGAGCTATATCTTTTTCCATGGAGTCCGGCAAATATACACCAATGAAGATGTGCCTACACATGTATACATGTATAGAATGTGTCAGGAGATAGATATGTAAATCTAAAAATAAGCAGATTTCTGCAAAGTTTGAGCACTTTGCTCTCTAATGGAAATTATTACAGCTTCTCAGGTAAATCCATACAGAACAGCTGTAAAACCCCCATCGTTCTGATGCAAACAAGTCATTCCAGTTTACCAATTAATTGCATTTAATACTCAGTTTTGTAAGCTATGTTGTGTAAGGATTTAATTACTTAAGCCACAACTCCCAACTTAAAAAAAAAAAAGTCTTAAAATAATTTTTATAAATGAGTAGATGTTAAAGAGCTTATTGGAAGTCCCACTGCAATTAGGTGGCTGAGTCATGAATTATTTTGCTATAAAGAACAGTGTATGCCCTAATTGCAGGACTGGGGATCTAACATTTTCTTCTAGGCTTTGACATGAACTCCTTATATAGCCTTTGGGAAACAAACTCTTCGGATGGATAGACTGAGGTATATAAAGTCAGGATAATTGTACTTACTCATAGGACAGCAAATTAAATAATAATTGTAAAACAACTCAAAGAATAATATTAGAATAATAAAATAACCACCAGACCATATCACTTTTGAGGAGGCTTCAGAAACTATCTTTGTTCTTCTACATGAAACTTTCTGGAAATAATTACCTCAACTTAAATAAAATACTTCAAAGTCAATTCAGTTCTGTGGTTGTTACAGCCGGTTTACACTTTCCAGTTTGGTTTGAAGGTCTAGGAAAAGTCTCAACCAATGCCAGTTCTGCTGAAATTGTTTGGCAGGCTCATCCTTGGTACTGTGCTTGTAAGTAATTAGAGGAAATAGTTCTCTTCCAAGTAAAAGCCCAAGAAACAACAACAATAACAAAACCCAATGTAACGAAGCACTATATATATTTGTTTCCCAACTCTTACTATAAGCACTTTTCAGCCAAAGCACTTGAACACATTATTTCTAGGCAGCTTACAGCTGAGACCTTCCAAGGGACAAGAATGGTGGATGATACTATCTGATACACATACTCAAAGGCTATCTAGTAAACCTATATTCCTCTGATGCAACAGAGGCAACAGGATGAAGCACATAATTTCTGCATGAAAGACACTAAAGAACTTTCCAGGTTATTTCCAATCACTTCAGAGAGGAATTCTTATCTATAGAGGATTTTCCACACCTAAGATCTCATGGGGCAACTAGAATAACAATAAACTCCTTCCACACGTTCAACCTGCTTCTGCAAGTCACTGCGGATAAAACCTATCTTCAGCTCTGTCACCTGCTTAAATGGTAAACCAGCAAGTGTACCCGAAAATTCAATGGCCTGCCAACATGCCCTATGGGAGAAGAGTTCACCAGTCACTAAAGGAAAGTCCTAAAGAAAAATCCCTGATCATCAAGATCTTAGGGAGACCTTTTCTCAGCAAGTTTGCAGAACTCCATGCATGTTTAAGCTACATCCAATGACCTCATCAGTTCCCCTCGCAGTACGGCGCTGGCATAGGAAGCGACAGGCACTTTGAGCGCTGGAGATGACAACAAGGAGCCTGTGGCAGGAGTAACGGCCGTTCTCATCCACTGCCATTTCAGATGCTCAAAAGCCTTCGCAAACAAGAGGTTAGCTTTCACCTTAAAACAGGACACCTCTCCCTAATATCTACCACTGAAGTCTACTACCAAGACTGAAAAGACTCTAAGTGGCATATAACATCTACCTGCTCAGCAGCAGGTTTGCTGTGAGCATATTCAAACAATATTTTAATCCTTGAGTTCCTTCTCTATGCCAATCAAAATTCTCATCTTATACAATTGAGCATCAACATCACCTTGTTGAAATCGTGAAGTGCCGGCCACATTTAGCAACTTAGAAACACTGGAATTTTCAATTAAGAATTTTCTATTCCTTGGTATAGTTTAAGAAGCAATAACCACAAGTTTCAATTCTATATAAAATGCAAGGCAAGTGTTTCACCTGACTTTTTCCATCATGACCAATTCTCTTGTTTCTAAAAGCAAAAGGAAAATCAGAATCTCCTACAAATCTGAGATACTCACAGGTGGATCGATTTCACTTAGTTTCTGTGTCTACACTCAGTTCACATTGAAAGAAGTCCAGTTCTCAAGAAAACTATGAGCAGGTTATGAGGCACAGCATGGTTGCTTAAATACAAAGTTCTTGCTCAAAATTTCCAGACACTAAGGCTGAGCATCTAACTTTTTGAAAATTGCTGCTACTAGCTGTAGGAATGGCTCAATATCTTGAAAGTTAGGCCTCATATTTAAGTATTTAAACTTTGGGTCCATTAAAAAAAATTAAAATGAAAAATTATACTTAATGACCGTATTAGTTTTCTGACCTTAAATATTTTTAAGCCATATGCCATGCTAATATATTAATGTTTATTCCAATATAATGAGTATGACTGGATATGTCAAGGTTTTCAGTACCTACCAAATGTACAACATATGGAAGATACTAAAATTAAAGAGACTACCATCTATCTTTTATTTGTATTTTAAAGTCTTTAAAAAAGACAATTCTTTAAAGTGACCATTTCTTTCAGACATAACCACATATAATTAAACTTTATCCTGTGATACCTTGCAGAAAACACATTAAGCATCAAGCGAGAGGAGTGCTGACACGCGATTTAAGAGATGTGGGTTCAGTTCCATACCCCCCTACAGACTTCCCGCATGATTTCTAGCAAGTCCCTTGAGCTCTGTACCTCTGTTCTCCATCTGAAGAAAACAGTCATCAGATTTAATCTCTGAACGCCTATGGCGCATTAACACTTCTGAGGTCTTCCATCCTTAGCAATGGAGGCAACCTGAACATCTTGAAGGATGCGTTAGCAGTTTTGCTCGCTCTCCCAGAGAAAAACATCCCACATCCCAGCTATTCTCAGCAGTAGGCTATGTAACACCACAAATCTTCGTGTTTTCTTTACAAGTATTGAGAACAGATACGTTAGGGTAGATTCTGCACCAACATCAAGCTTTCCAGCAGAAAGAATAAAGCTATTGGATTAAGTGTGCCTCAGACCAGGAGCAAGAACACCAGCACGGGGGACAAAGCCAAGGTGGTTACCTCACTTCAACTCCACTGGCTTAAGCAGAAACTGCAAGGGTTCACAGTATCTTAAAACATGCTGATATTAAGGGATTTCTCCTCCTTCTTTCTTCTCCACACAAAACTTCTACAAGGTCAAAAAGCTTGCCTATTCTGATCATGTGGAATTGAATAGGTCCCTTTGCAAAGGCAATGAAAATTGCAGATACCTATTAAACACAAGATAAGCCTCTTGCACATCATACAGCAAATGTACAGATTCTAATTGTTTCATATTTGGAATTTATTACATTGCTGTATTCAAAGAACTTAACCGTGACCCTAACATGCATTACAAATTATCTATCAATACATGTTTTGTCACGAGAAATTTCTTTCGGAAGCATATCTCTTGACATGCAAACCTTTAGATGAATTACTGTAATATTTTAAAATAATATCATAAACCTACTGCACAAGGAAGCATTGATAAAGGTGGGGGACAAGAAGGAAAGTGACCAAACAGATTTGTACCAATTCAGATGTATCAAAGTTTATGCCTGTAGCTGGGTTAAAGAAAAATCTTTGAGACAAATATATTGTTAATATTTCATTTGGAAAAGCTGAAGCAGCATCCAGCCCTTTACAAAGCACAGTGTCTGGCAAGTAATTTATGAGGACAATGGTAGGTCTAGTTTCTTATATATGCGGTCAATGCTGATATCTAAAACTAGTTTTTCCTTCTGCCTACAACTCTTCCCCTCACCATTCTCCACTCCATAATTAGGGTTGAGAACATGCCACAGTTTTTTCCACAACTAGAGCACTGACAGGGTCTCTTTCCCACCAATTCAGATACAACTTAATCATTATTCAGATTTCTAATTCGTTCCAGACTTCAAACCACAGAACCACGAGGGCGCGAAGGGACCTTGGGAGGTCGCTAGTCTGACCCCCTGCTCAGAGCAAGGTCAGCCAGGAGATCTCAACCAGTTCGCTCAGGGACATGTACAGTTCAGTCTTGAAAACTTCCAAGGACAGACCTTCCACAACCTCTTTGGGAACTTGCCCCAGCATTTAATTTAGTTTAACTTTGCCACAGAATTCAAAACTTACTGGCAGGTAACGGAGGAAGATGAGACAAGCAGACAACTGAGTTAGATAAGGCCTGTTTCCACAGAAAATGGGCTGAGAAACAAATGCCAAAGCTATACAAATAGTTACAGCTATTCGTTTATGTAGAGGAACTGATAATCATACTTACAGGACTCAAGATAGACATATATCCTAGCATTATGAAAGCAAAGTGAATTAACCATACTTTACAGAATTAACTAAAGCTCAAGCATAAGTTAATGACAACTTCAGTCTCTTTATCCGTGTTTATTTAAACTATAGAAAGTGAAACTTTTTAGTGGATACACAAAGTAAAAACTTTGGCTAGCAAAAATAGTCAAATGCATATGCATTTTAAAAGGGCCAGAAGACTAAAGTCCTGTAAGGTATTATTTCAGTCTTCAAAGTGAACACACTCTTATATTCCTTTAACCAATTTATTATCACTGACAAAAACCCCACTGCAAAACTTATTTAAACTATTCTAATAGGATTTTCTCTAGCTCATTAAAATTATACTTTTACAGTCTTCAAGAATAGGCCTAACAATTAATTCAAAACCTTCTTAGCACCATCACCTGCTTCCAAAGGATTAGAGTTCAGGAATGATCACGTCGTGCCATCCAGTCAGAACCACACAAAAAGCAACAGCTTCTCCTCCATGTCGAGGTAAGAGCCTTCTTACTCCAAGAAGTGAGAGCTGCTGACTTTCAGCACTACCCAGTGCTGAAAACATATGCAAGCCTGGATTACAAAACTCACCTCTGACAATGTGATTGCCATTATCTGTTCTGTAGAATTGAGTACCACATATGGATAGGAACCGCATTTCCATAGCGGCTTTTATTTATTTAACTTTTTAAAGAATTTGACCTTTTGCGGTGAGCCTAGCTTCAGGTCACTTAAAACTTAAGAAACAGTAAAATAAAAATAATGGGATTAAGAGACAAACAACCTGGCATAAATTTCTGCTCTGTCACCAATCCCCATGTAGAAGCTAAGGCAGACAGATACCAGAGTTTATATGACATTGCATAGCCTGAAGAGAATTTGTGTGTCTAGTACAAAGCAGACACTTCTTTGTTGCCCTAGTAACCAAAGAAGAATACAGCTTAATGTCCTTCAAGCTAATAAAAATATCCTACAATGCTTATAAGAAAACTTTGCAAAAAATGCTCTGTTGAGACAGATTTTCCTCACAACGGTACAATTAGGTTACAACTCTGGGTATTTTTCAGAAGACAGACTATTTTACAGAAACTCTAAGCCAGTGGCCACGCTGGTATAGTGAACCAGTTTAGGAGAAAACAGTGCAAGTTCTGTCATTTTCTCTTTTACTTCAGAAACAGTATTATGACTTCATACCCTTTTGACTATAGTCAAGTCCTTTTACCACATAAAATTTGTCACCAACAGAGAAAAAAAAAAACCAGATGTGAATCTGAAAGCCTTGACTAGTTCCATTAGCAGATGCTCTGAAAGCCTCAGCAGGAGTGAAGAGCTTCTACCAGATCATTTGACTTCTAACTTGGGAAAGAAAAACATTCTGCCGTGACTTCAGAAAGTTGGTGGCCCTCATCTTGCAGAATAATTTATCTAATTACCATAAGTATGGTTTAAATAATTTGAATGTTTGAATGAACAGAGCACCAAGAAGGTTTTCTTCCCCAGTTTTCAGAAATTACCTCCATCTTTAAGAACTCAACTTTGTAACTCTAGAAATTTGATTCAAAAAGAGCACATCAGCTAGTTAAGTGAAACTGTTTCCATATCTAAACACGAATATACAAAACTAAGAGCTTCCAAGGTCATGTGGGAGGTTTTTTGTTTGTTTGTTGTTATTTGTTTGGGGGTTTTTTAAGTAAGTTCTGGTTCATCTTCAAGTATAAAATACTGTCTTCCAGCATACTACCTCCATGCAGCAAATATAAAGTATGATTTACTGATAACCTCTCTTCTATGTTGAGCATAAGCTTCAGGAATAATTTTCTTAGGAACATTTTTCATTCTTCCTACAATAAGACAGGTAGCAATTACAGAAAAAAAACAAAACAAAACAAAACAACAGAGTACTTCATTCTAAATCAGCGTCCTGAATATACTGGAAGACTTGAAACTAAAGTTTGCCCATCCTAGTATCCAGAACTTTCCTAGTAAGAACTTTTTAATAAAAATCACATCAGATATAAGGTATCTAGTACATAAAACAGTAAAATTTAAACATTTTATTCTTCCTAACATGTGTGTATGTGTATCTCAAGTCTAATATTTGAGTAACTATTAAAATGAAGCCAGCTAGAATGAGGAGCTCAGATATACTCACCATCTCAGATGTTGAGCTATTTATATGGTAACTACTGTATAAATGTTAATTTCTTTGGGTCTACTCTAGGCTAAAAAAAGCTCAGTTTTCCCAGAAGAGTTTTATTAACCTGTATGACAGCCGTTTTATTGTCTATGAAGACACTCTGTGGCACTCAATCACCTTGAAGGCCGTTTTATTTTGCACACGTTAACCCAATCAGCTATTAGGCCATGCCTGCACCAGCAAGGTTAGCCTCCAGGACTCCGTCACCGCACAGCTGCCCACACCGCTGCATCTCTGGGGCTTTAGGCACCTGGCTGCTTTGGCCGGTGCCAAAGCTGCGTCAGCAGCGGAGCAGGCGCATCAGAGCTGAGGTCAGAGCCCTCAGCATCCCTAGGGCACTCGAGCACCTCCGTGCTGGAGTTTTGCCGGTGGCTGTACAGCGGCTGATGGCCTGTGTCACCCAAAGAGACAGTTACTCAGCTGACGGAAAGGATGGGCTTTGCTAGCTGATAGAAAAAGCAACGCGTGCATGTGTGTGTGAGAGAGGGAGGCAGAGAGAAAAAGAATGAAAACCTTCACAACAAGAGGCTATGTCTCTTACTGGCATATTTTTTTTCAGAGGGAGAAAAAAAAAAACAAACAAGCCAGGCCAACGTAAATAATTTCTTTAAAATATTCCAAATTCCCACACGGACATCAATTTTAATATGGCTTAAATTGGGTAGGAAACAAAAAACGTGGCTTTACATTGGTTTAACCAAACATTCAGAAAGTAACTTAGTGACAAAATTTTCATATGTGGACAAAGCCTATTTTAAATAGAAGATGACTGCAGAACCTGGTGAAATCCACGTTTTGGTTTTTTGTCCTGACTCCTGATCCCACAGAGTAGAAGACTGAGCAATCCCTCTGCACACATATGCATATATTTGTGTATACACGTACATTTTAGCTATCTCTCTGAGTAAACTTATTTTTAAAGTGGCAGCATTTAGGCAGGTAACAGTTTGTGAAAGATGCTAAACTGTAATGTACTTTGTTTTATTCTGAGAAACAAAATACCACCCCAGTATTTCAATGCCTGTTTGTCACATTCTAGGTACAGAAAGGATGATAATTTGTATCCTTAACCCTCAAAAACGACAGTAATAATGGTAAGAAAATATGCAAGAAAGTTGGATTTCTTTTAAGAAAGAGCCTATATTTAAAGGTACCACACACCCTAGTGCCCATTACACCTTCTTTGCTGAATCACTAATTGGTAACTAGAATTTCCTGAAAATAGTCCACTAATTATTTTTTCCACGTTAACTTGTCCTATGCAGAAAGGCCATTTCAATTAATAGGAAGGTGTTTGCGGGGGTGTGAAGCCCAGACTGTTCCCAGTCCTTTTAATCTAACCACATTTCTTGCAGACAGACAGAAAGTCTTTCAAAGGAAGGTGTTTTGATCATCTCTGGGAGAAGAATGTAGACTTCAATTACCAGTCCAATTATCCCAGCTAGGAAGGCAATACAATTGCTTAATTTCAGAGTAATAAGGGACTTTCAAGGTGTGCCTTCTCAGCTTTCATCCAAGACTGAGCTTTCCATTGTCCCTCTCTGGCAGGTGAAGCTACCATGATGGCAGTCACTATTTCTGAATAAAAACCATCTGGAGAAGAATTCAACATACGCTAAGTTCAGCGATTTCACACCTTTAGGTGATTTGTTTTCTTTCTTGAATATGCTCATCTCAATTTAAAAAAGGATGCTTTTTTGTATATTTTAGCCAAATACAGTTTCCTAGGGCTAGAACAAGATAAAGACAAAAAAACCCCAATATCCTGCAATAAACAGCAACCATATTGAATGACCAAGTTCTTCAGAATCCATGGAAAGAATACGGGGTAAACTTCCCCCCCCGCCCCCAAATCCTATTTTCTTTCCTATGTTGAGTCTACAAAGTAACAATTCTTCCCAGCAGCGAAAACTTTGTAACCATGGTTTTTTTTTTCCTCAGTGTGTCCATATCAGGCCTAGGGATACACCAGTAAGCGCTGCAATACATGGTATGCACCTCACCCTCCTTCCCTCTTCCTTATGTTCCAGAGCAGTCTGGACCTTTTCAGTTCAAGTATCCTGATCCCAGCTTTCCGTATGTTTTATTTTCCTTTTCAGAACACAGTTATATTGTAAACTTTGGTAGATAAAAACTGAATTATGTGGTTTGTTTAATCAAAGACTTACGAAAGTGGTAAGAGAAAGCAGTCAGGAGCAACCACCTTTCCATCATCAGGTCGGACTACCATGATGCTTATCTTGAGCTTCTTGTGATATAATTTTTAGACAGATAATGCTATTTTGAACACATCTGCTATAGTTTAGTTATGACTGAGGGTTCATATTGTCTGCAAGTCCCAGTCACTTCCTTTCCCTGAGAAAGGGCCCTGCTTTTAGTTAAACATTCACATTATGTGTTCTGTCTATAAACCATTACAGCTGCCCAGTAGTTGAACTCTGGGCAATTACAAACATAACCAACAGCGTAAATCAAAAAGATGGAAAGAACAGCAGCTCCAGTCCATCAGGAGTTTGTCCACGGACTGCATTTGCTCACTATGATTCCTGAAAACCACCCTCACGCAGCTGCGGAGCAAGTCCAGCAGTCCTCCAATTACATGGTCAGTGCAGAATCTGAGGCACAGGGCCTGGTTGGCAGCAGGACTATTTCCACAATAACACCAGACCTTTAAGTAAAAGCTGGTACTCGGACTGGTAACAAGAACAGCATTCCTTGCCAACAGTTGCTGACAGACTCATCTGATGGGTAGCAAGCATCTGACTTTGGTTGCTATGAAATCTGGTTAGAGAGAGCACTAGAAATAAAAGGGCTACAAGAGATTTGACTAAAAACTGCTAGATGGTAAACAGACTCATCAGAAATTTGCAGCAGCTACATAGTAAGACAGTGATAACTTCGGTAAGCAACAGAGGCTACACAGTCCCAGATGGAACGACTATAATGTATATAGTGCCAGACTAGAGGCAAGACCATTAGATATCCATTCATACAGTCCAGGAAAAATTATCATCAGATGCATAATGTTATCTTTGAAGGCGACAGAGGGTTCTTCAAACCTAATCCCATCAAAACATAGCCAGTCATTCACCACATCAACTGGCAGCCTAGCTTCTCCACAATTCGAATCAAATTTGGGAATATTTGGATTGAGCGACATTCCAGAACATGCTGTCATGCCTAAATTTTATGGAACATCATCAAGGATCAAGGAGCAGAAGGCTGTCTATTCTCACGTGGCCAACCTGTAACAGCTACTGGAGAAGCAGATGATATGAAGATAGCCTGCTGAGCATCCGCAGCTTTTAATGTTAAGTGAGGCTGCAGATCCAAACTAGAGGAAACACAGAAGAGACACCTATGAAGACTAATTAATCAAGTTTCTTCACATTTGATATTTAACATTAAAACTCTGTGGACTCTCAGCAAGCTGTCTTGATATCATCTGCTTCTCCGGTTTCTTCCTA